GCCGGAGCTGTTAGAGAGGCCAAGGGCATGCTCGACTGGAAGGGAGATAAACTTGGATACGTGCGCGCCGCAGTCGGACGTGTGAGTTTCCCGAGCTCTGATTCGAGCATTAGATCTAGGAAACTCATCAGGCCTGTTTAACAGATCCACTTCCCGATTGAGGATGTAGAAAAGAATATCCGAACATTTTTGCAAGCAGTACGGGATACAATGAAACCCGAGGATGAAGTATTTGCGGCTCGCCAAAAAACCGGTAAGTGTGGCAATTTTTGCGCCTTTCATCCGCTGCATTGCTCCGTCGACGCGTTTGAGGGTGTTCACATGTCTACCCCATTTCGCAGCATCGTCAGTTTTGCAAGTCTACCTCAGCTCGACTCAGGGGCCGGGCATTGAACTTTCGGACGTTGGTTATACGCCGTACAAGTAGTAATTTTCCGATGGACAGGACGGCGAATCACCCAACTCACTTTGGTACACCTCGAGCTAAATTGGGAGTTGGGCTTGACATTGCAGTGATGTACATAAATCTGGGGTGGTTACAATGCAATACGAATGGCGACAAAACGCGAGGCTTGGTCTATGAATACGAACGGATAGAATGAGGGGTAGTTGATATAAATATACGTAGCATGTCGATATCGCAATATTGGGTGGCGCCTTGTCTATAACCGGAAGGGCTCTCGTTTTCATTCTATCTCGTTCATCTACGTTTGGATCTCCACCGCAGGTTTGCTCGCCTCGGTGTTGAGCCACTCTTCCGACACATCCTCGACCTCAAGCTGACTCGCCCCTTCTTGCGGACTTTTCCGATTTGAATTTAGCCTGCTCCTTGTCTCCTTCACATTCATCTCATCTCCCTGTTCACCATTGTTCGGCACAACTGGTCCAAGCCGACGAATCCCTCTCGTCCGAAGCTGCGGCGTGATACGTGAAGCGTGTGGAAACGCGTCCCCCCAGTTCGCTTTTCGTGCGTCATAATAAGCTTGCTTGCCCTGGGACTTGGGTATCGTTATACGTGCGATTGAACCTGTGCACAGACAAGGAATATTTAGTTCATTTTGTGAAATGGGAGGTTATTTCGCGATAGGGAACGGTGATCATGCCCGAGAGAGAAGGTGATAAATGGGCGTCAATTCGAGTCAATGTTAGATGGAAGGCAGGAATAGAATGATAGAGTTAGATTTTTGAGCGCCTGATGGAGGGGGTGAGAAATTAACGCACCTTCTTGTGTGCATGTATCGAGTATGACATGCCCACTCCGTTTCATCGGAGGGTACACAATCCGGGGCCATGTCCGGATTGCACTCCGCATCGCATCTTGTTCGGAGACATGTTTTTCCTCGGCCTGTGAAATCGAATCATCAAGAAGTGATTGACTCGTCGCCTCGGGCGGATTGGAGTCTAGGCTGTCCCATACACCGTCTTCACCTGCCTCCAACACTGTATGGCCCCTTAGCCTCCGGTCCTTTCTCCGTTCCATGTGTTTGGCCTTGCCTTGGCTCGAGTCCGATTGTATCTTTTCAGCCTCTTCACGACCAACGGCGCCAATCAGACCTTGTGCACTGGGGTTTCCATAACGTTGGCCAGCGTGGACGTTGGGACTCTAGTATATGCAAAGCATATGAGCAACGGGAATGTCAACATCTCTAGCGCCACTCACCTGTCCGCGGCGTATCACGACATATGAATACGCCACATCCTCGTGTCCCTCGTGTGAGTGTTTGGTATGACGCAGGAACGGTGGCGTTTGTATGCGCTGAGTGAAGTGGCAAACGTCGCGGGTGTGAGGCGAACTGTGTAATGGGCATGCATGCGAATGAGGACACTATCGGGGCGAGTTGCATGAGCTCTGCATTTGTACGGTGCAAAATCGGCGCTCACAGGTGCGACGACGTAGCTTCCCGGCCGCCGTGTGCTCTGCTCCCCAGGTGGAAGACTGGGATGCATTTCAACCTCAGTGCGTCCCAAATCGAGTAATAGCTCTCTTGCACGAGCAACGCTATCGAAGCCGGCTGGTGTACCATGGTCGATGACTACCTAGATCATTCATATCCGGGGTCAGTTGTGTTATTGAATTGGAGTCCATGTCACCCAACTCACCATCCACTCAGCCCCCGAGTCCCACATTTCGCTCACCATGCGCTTCCGAGATGTGCCATTGGGAAGTTCAGAGAGCGTGAAAGCACACAAAGCAAGCGAGCGCTCGGGCATAGCGAGTTTGGTGTTCTAAGCAATGGAAATAAGAGACGAACAACGATATAAGGTGCGAGTGGGCTACCTTCCCCCAAAAGTCTTGATAAAGAATCTCACAGCCTCCCAAGTCCGTATCCTTCACGAATCGCCTTGCAAGCTCCGTCATACCGCGCCTCGAATCAAGTAGAATATACTTCTTGACTGTAGATGCTGTCCATTCTTCATGAGCTACCGGCCCGTCCAAGACCCCTGATTCAAGCCTCTCAAGTACGGAGCTTGGGTTTGGTGGCTCATGCGTGGATGGTGTAGACGATGGTCCGACGCGGAGGTGGTGAGGAGATGCAGATACAGGTGTCCACGATTCGGGATTAGCATTTTCGTGAGTCGACGTGGTCGAGGGTGTCTGACCAACTTCGGGAGCGGAGATAGCCTCGCGAAATGCTATTAGAGATGCCCTGCGAAGAGTTAAACATCGATGTAGAATACGCGACAACCTGACGCACCATAAACCTTGTCCAGATTTGCCTCCAAAATCTACCACGGCCTCGATCCTGTCTTTGCCTTGCCCGGGGCCAGCCATGCGCCGTGCAATTTCACGAAAGACATTGGCTGTGGCAGCATAATGCGCAGGCATTGCGATTGTAGCAAAAGCCAGACCTTCACGAGGGCCGAGATGAATAGCTGTCTTGTAATTCCCTAATCACAAGTGACAAGAGTTAGAAGTCGCAGCCAAAGCATGAAATCTGATTGGCTGTTCAGACCTTTGGTGCTAAACGAGAGTGAAGCCGCATTAGGCGACGAAAGCTGCCATTCAGGCGGACGGTTGTACCCTCTTGATTCTTGCATCTTTCGAGGAGTTTTGGATGGGCCCGAGCTGGAGTCTGCAGGCTGCGTGTTGGGGGAGGTGGGATAAAAGAATAATCGTTTGGCATCGGAGCGAAGTTGGTGTTTGTCAGACTCTGCGAGGCCAGTGAATCAGCTATCGATATTATTATAGGAAGTAATCGCTTACCCCCGACGGCCTTTTCTACAGCATGTTCCAATTCCCAGGGCAAAACCACCATCCCGACGTGCTTTGTGCCATACACAGCAGCAGGCGACCTTCTCTCCTCCCGAGGTTCCCCCCTATGATCTTCCCAAACGTCGGCGTAGTCGTTTTGTGAGGACGAGAAACCCCGTTCTCCTATTCCGTAGCCTTCGAGCTCGGGAGCTGGGTTATCGAAAGCATTGGCTTCTGTTTCGACCTCTAATTCGGCACGCTCGACATAATGTTTCGATCCATGTCGAAATTTTCGGAGCAAAGACAAGTCTGTGTCATGCAAGAGCTGGCTTAGTGCTGGGTCGAGTTCTAGGGGGGCGTTGGGAGAGTGAGCAAGGTGGGCGGCTGCGTTCTTGAGCAGCGACACGGTCGAGCGGAAGCCCATTGGGGTGATCGACAGAAATAAGACTGCATCATGACAAATAGGCGCCATGGTCACGTGTAAATTGTGCTCCCACGATTTGTGTTTCTCGTTCGACTGAGCTCGGCGTCCCGTCTCCTCACAACTACCACCACCACACTCCCACCAGACCAACATGGGACTCGATACTCACATCCGCCGCGGCCACCCCAGTGAGTCATGCCGGCCGTTCCCCTGCCTGCCACTGATGTCCAATGCTTTCAGTAACATTCGGCCTTTTGATCTTCTTTGGCATCATCGAGGCATGTCGGCGCATTCCCCCACAGTGAGATGTTTACTAAATAGGCTGCTGTAGGGCTCGATTGCAACATGGCTCACGACCAAGTTTAACCGCCATCATAACTACATGGATCTCTCCGTGCGGGATCGCACCCGTCTCCTTACCTTTACCAGCTGGTGGACTGTGCTCTTCTGTGGTAAGCTTCTGTGCTCATAGACAGCCCATAGATTGGCGCTCATACTTTAATAGCTATCTTACTCTTCCTATTTATGCGCACCCCATCCGGCGCTGTTGCGAGCGTTCTCGTCCACCTGGTGTTCCTCGGTGAGTCTCTCTTTTCTCCCCCTCTCGGCTGCCCGCTAAGATATCTGTAGGCATAACATGGATTCTCTGGACAGCTGGCGCCGCATCAATTACTGCTGCATTGGGCGGCGGAATCAACTGCTCGTACGTCATTGTTGCTTACGTCACCACACCTTAACTCATTCGATGCCGTGATTCAGCCGAGTCGAACGAGAAGTCACGTACTGCAACCAACTGAACGCGCTCGAAGGATTTGCTTGGGTTGAATGGTATGTTGGTCGCCTATAAACCATGTCCCATCGACTAAATTCATTTATTAGGATTCTATGCACCTTTGCCATCTTTGTCGTTATTGTATGCGCGATCCGCTCCATGCGTCGTGGGGACGGCGCCCGCGGCTCTCTTGTCGTTGACTGAACCCAGTAAAACCATGGACTTGCTCTGCTCTACTCTCACGAGAACCGAGATCCCCATAACGATCCCCGTAATTTCATGACTTGTGCTGTGCTTCTGTTTATTCTCACACCTTTATATCTCTATTGTGTTTCACTGCCTCCAGGCTTGGTTACAACGCCTATTTTTGTATCTGCATGGATGTAGAACGGTGTATGTACAATGCTTGGTGCTGCACGAGCAAGAATGTAGTTGCTTTTTTGGTTTTTAGAGCCTGGCGAGTCAAGTTTCCGGCACTGGCGAACGCGATTTTACAAATAAAACATTGCCAAGTAGCCGAAAATGACGATAACCTCAACTGAGTTACGTTCGATGTACTCATTTAGGAGGCATTTATCCCATCTTATTGTCAAAAAAGTTCTCATAACCAATACGCCCAACGGGAATCGAACCCGTCCCGCTTGCTGACTCAGACTTGATTACCCCAAGTGGAAGGCAAGCATGATAACCACTTCACCATGGACGTTTATTTCAAATCAGACAGTACCACTCAGGTTGGCTAGGCTCCTCCTTTCAGCCGCTCCCTCGATATATGCAGTAGGATTTCATATATTCATAGACTCGAAACAAAACAGGCATCATATCCACAGCTGTATCCTAGTATTCTCCGCGAGATAACAGAAGTATCACTCCTTGAGTTCAATTTCAGACATGTCACCACTGACGTTTTTGGCATTCAGTTACTCACTGGAAGATTCCAGTTGGCGAATTTCTGGGCTGCGACGTTCCTAGCACCCCGTTGAGTTCTACTCTCTCCGAAACACACCTCGATTCGCTGCTCGTGCCCTGTTGTTTCAACTCGTCAATAGGAACCTGTTATGCAAACAGGCCTGACTTGCATATTGGCACAACCCTCCAAATTGGCTGGCCAGTAGTACCTTTGTTGGTATATTCCGACCAGCTGAAATGGTTACCATTATCGCCTTGTTGAAGCCATTCGTTCAACTTCTCGGACCAATTGCCACCGGGTGCGTTATAGCGGGCCATTATGAATAAATTTGTGTTAAGTCCTGCTAGAATCAAAGCAAGTAGCTGAAGGTAAAGATAGGTGTGTTGTCTAATCTTAGAGTCTTCAGTGCTCTCTTAAAGCTCTTTCGCAGATGCTGTATGCTCAGATTGCGAGCTGTACGACTTTGAGTACTATTCTATTAGCTGCCATGAAAGGTCCTATAATATCATTCTCCGACATTGTCACTCCGGCTATGCGGACCTTACTACCAAGTACAGCTGTAAAACCAGAAGATTTTCTAGCTAAATTGAGTGAAACTTCAGACATTATTTTGGACGACGCCTCTACCCCAGCTCCTGTCACTGAACAGCTTGTCAAGATCTCCTCCGGCGACCACATCACAATCAATTCGACCCTGTAAACAGTCTTCAAAACCAGGAAATGCGCTACTTCATCTGCCGACGCGACCGGTCCCGGAATTCTAGCCCACTGTGGTTGCCCATTTCAGTCCACCGAAACGCCGATGCCAGATGTTGGTATGCTAGAGTACAGCAGCTACGACTCGTTAGCGAGTGCTTTGTTTGAGTGACCCTATTCAGTTTGTATTGCATATACGATCAATTACCGGCGATTGTTTACCAGTCAATGCTGTGTGCTAAACCCAAAAGGGACCGAGTTGCCACCCTCTTCTTAAGGTCGGACAATAGCTCAGGAGCTTGAAAGTAAAAGTATCAATTAGATGGGACTCCGCTGTCATTTACAACTATTGCAATAGAGCTATACTAAAACTCTAAGATTGAGGTCTCGTATTTATTACTCCTAGAACTCAGCGCTAAAGAAGGGTGACTCTCCTGGTGTCGCCGGCGCCTCGGGTGACGAAAAAAATACAAGTTTGGTGACATAGTACTTCTAGATTCATTGCCGTATCTTTGCGGAGGAGAGTAGTCGTTTCCCAGAGTTGGTAGCAAAATATATCATTATTTATCGTTTGAAAAGGTATTAGCTACGTATGTATGTTCTTGGGCCGATCAAGTTGGTCGCCTGCAAGAAGTTGGGCCTACGCAACCTACTAAGCAATCAGTTACCAACAATCTAGACACATAGGATCCTCAGACTCACGTTCACGAAGTATTTCGTAAATTAGTGATCATGATATAATGTCAATTTCGATCAATAGTCACTCGCCCGCATGCGTCTATTCCCTGCTTGTGTGCACCCATGGATTCATATAGAGCGTAGCGTTCACTCGCTCCTGCATATGCCAAAATATGCCCATCTTACTATGCAAGAACTAGAAGAACTGTGTAGCATACGCTACGAATTGGATGTTGCTGACCAAAATGAACGATCTCGAACTTCAAATGTAATACTTTAGGTGAGATGGTAAGATTTGAACTTGCCTTCTACTTGTAGCATCAGACACGGCACGATATAATTCACATTTCCTTCAATGGTACTCTTCTGGCGCGGAGATATCAATGCTCTGATATCACGAGGTCGCTGAATGTTTAAGAAAAATGGTACGTTTGGCGAATTTAAGCATCTGATAGTGATTCACCTGTGACATGGTCCAATTTTTGGATCTCTAGGATGCTTTTTATCCATCCAGTATCAAAATCAGTAATTTCACATTCGAAAGCTTTGTTTGGTCTATGGATGAACCTTCCGAAGCTCGCTATATCTATGTTTAGTACGAGAAATGATTTACGATGGCAGACTGTTCTAGTTACAGAAAGCGATCAATCCACAAGACAAATGGAAACCCGGGCCAGAATATCAACCGACGCGTCCAGCACATTCTTTCTATGTGCCTAGATTTTTTAGCAAGAGCCGTTATCCTGCCACACGCCACTGCCTCCTGTGCTTGGGGTCTCATACTGAGTCCACCATTTAGCGGTCCACAAATGTCTGTGAACCACGACTTAGACTGTTTCTAAAAGCGGTTCAAATTATTATACGTACCCGCCATATGTACATTTCTGTCCGCCAACGTAGACAGTCGATGATCCATAAGCGGCAACGCCGCTGCACTGGCCAGTTCCGGGATTGGTCGTCCCTCCCCCAACCGAAGCACGGGCCTTGTTGATTAGATCTTGAGCAGTTGACTGGGCTTGATCATACTGCAAGGATATAGCCATAAACAACGAGCTTTCTGAAATATCTCAAAATACGCACGCGATCGGGGAACTCAGAACGCTGCACCGACTGTGCGAGCTGGCCAGCAGTGTACCCGGGGTTGTTACGGTCGTTGACGATCGCTTGATCAAGATACTTGTTCGTGCTGTAGTCTACGTTCATGATTTGATCGTAGCTCCCCCAGCCTTGGCTCGGGCGTTGCTGGAAGACGCCGATAGAGTCTTGGTCGCCGCAGTTTCTGGATGATATCACTTTAGAGCCAGTCTGACCTAAATTTAACCGCGACTCACAGGTTGTTGACATGCGATTCGATCCAGGCAGTCTAGAGGAGTATTCATGAGCTCACCCCTAATTTCGTGTTACCTGTAGTCTCACCTCAAAAGTGCTCAAGAGAACTTTGGCCGTCACAGCACGCGACTGGGTAATCCGATATACCTGGTCACGCACAGCAGCGTTGGCCGTCGAAGGAATCACCGCACAATCGCGAGCAGTAACGGTGGGCGCCGCTTGGGAGACTTCGAGGAAAGGGAGTAGGACTGCGACAGCAAAGGTGAAGAACTTCATGTTGATTAAGTCGCAGTAGTAACTAATGAAGTAGAAAGCGCAGGTGTTGTCCTTCAAGCCTGTTCATAAGTGCTATTTTATACTAGCTGTAGCATTTCATTTTTGTGTAAATGAGGCGGACGTTCCACATGGAGTGCGTAGAGGGATGATAGGCGGCATCGACTAGGATTGAAAGAAGCCCGCGCCGAGCGCGCATATACTCAGGTAAAATAGAAGCAGTCGCATATGGCGCGCCTATTGCGGCCATAAGGACAAACCGTTCGCCCCGGCCTGTACGCACAGGTGCTGGAACAAGAATATACGCCCGTGTGATTCAGAGGTCACTGTCATTAGTCGGTCTCAGCAGGGTAGCTTCGCTTAGCGAGCGCCAAGCCCGAGTCCATATGGTTTCTTGAGCGTACGGTGGAAGCGAGCCTTGCCGCTTTGCCCGGCGCGCAAGACGCTAACAAGTCGCGTAAGCTTCTGGAACCGCCGACCACGTTCGACGGCGGTCGGGCTAAAAGAAATTGCATATTAACTACAGAGTGAACGATTATAGTAGTTGGGTTTGGGGTAGTTCCCAAATTTCAGAGATAATGTCACTTTGGCGTGTTTGATTCAACGCCTATGCTCGTTAATTATTCTGGACAAGTAAGCTATGTATAGGATAGTTAATGACCTGGTTGGACATCACGTTTTCCACGTATGCTCATGCTCGTAATTGTGACACGACCACTCATTTCGCGTCTAGCGAGACATGCATGTGTCCTCCCACTCCTCGTGTTGATCCCAAAAGGAAATGTCACCTGAGCCCATCCTTTCCCCCGATCCACCAGGATAGTAAGATATACTCGTTGTAGAGGTAAAACAATGTTTTTGAATGTGGGAGGATAAAAAGTTGCATAATGGGAGTTGACAAATATCAGGAAACCTCCAATGGAGAACCACATACACCGCCAACTGTATATATGGACATGTAGCCAGGGACATGCATTCAAAGAAGGCGCGTGATAGCGGGCGTATATTATACATGCAATCGTATCAAAACAAGTTAAATAAGTCAAATCGAAGTCAACCTTTTGGCAAGTTCCCAGGCAATATTCCAAACAAGCCAATGTACTTGCTTCTAAAATCTTGGCAAGGTGATTGTAAAGGCATAAAGGACTATGATACACATATTCAGTGAGATTTAGCCAGCAGAGACGGCCGCACGGGGCGGGAGAGGCGGGGGTGATGCGGTTCTAGGAACGGAATCTTTAGGTGTTGACGTTCCTGATTGTTGCTCATCGCTAGTTCGGTTCGTTTGAGGCGTTTGGGGCCTGGAGCTGCGAGCGACATCGTCAGCGGCAGCGGCTTTTTTCAATGCTTCTGATGCAGCAGAAAGTGCAGCCGATGTGCCAGGATTACGGGGAGGTAGAGCCGGGGGTGGGGACCGAGGTGAAGGAATCATCATAGGGAAAGCGCGGGGCGGAAGCAGCGGCGCAGGAGTTGATGACCGAGGGGTGTCGGTTGAAGGGAAATGTTGTTCTGGGGGCTCAGTGTCGATGGGTGTAATCGAAATCGTATCGATAGATGCACTCGAGGCCGCAGCCCTGGGCTGTGTGATTATTTCCGCCTTGTGTCCGTTTCCAGGAATTATATGGGAATCATTGGTGCTTGTGCTCAGAGTACGCTGGCCAAACAACCGATAGACGTTTTGAATCGAAGATGGTCGCCCACTTTGAGACAGAGTTCGCTCCCGGTCTACCGGTTCCTTGGGGTGTGGCTTGTTCTCGGTGGTTGGTGTGGATCCTAAAGCCATGACCTCGCCTTGGTGGCTAGCATGAATACCAGGGATC